AATAAAAAATGCATAAGCATTAAAAAAGAAGTATCTCCATATACAAATAATAGATAGGACATCTGGAAAATCCCAGAGAATCAATAATAAAACTAACTCAATTTAAAAGACCAGTAATAAAAAGGGATTTAATATGCAAAAATCAAAGTCTTCATATACACAAGCCAAACAAAATTAGGTCCATATCTCTTCTACCACAGAAAAGAATAAACTACAAACAGATTTGGAATCTAAATGTAAAATGTAAAAACTTACAAATAATAGAAGAAAACATGGGTGAATTATTCTTCAACCATGACATAAGGTAATAATTTTGTATTATGACTCAATAGCCAAAAGCATTAAAGAAAACAATCTAATATGGAACTGATAAATTTAGGTAATGAGAAGTAGGTTTCTCACTGTTGGAGAGAGAAACAACAAATAAAGAGAGAAAAAGTAGTGTTGGATTGGAATTTGGAAGTATCATTATAAATAAATAGCTTTTAAAATTATGGTGATAAATTGATACAGAAATAAGTATAGATGCATGTTTTGGGTGGGTTAGCATTCATACATACATTTCCTGTTTGTTGAGGGTCCCTAGGAGTAAAGACATCTCAGTAGCAAGAAATGCACTTAGAAATCAGAATTGGTTTCTAAATTTTAATGCAATTCTCCAATAGAAAGGCTCTTTAGAGAAGCTGTGGCATCTAGGGTTGGAGAAGGGAAAATACAAGAGCAGCCCGGAACATCCTGTTGTGTTGGGAAACAGGGACATGTATGAAAAAGATGAAGCATATCAATAAGATACTGATGACAAACTGAAGGAGCCCCAAATGGTCAAAATAGAACAACTTGAATAACAAAATAAATATTACACTGCATTATGTTTAACCACAGAATAAAATACATATTCATGAATCTCTACTGATATAAATAATTGAATAAATTTAAAAACCGGAAGAAGAAACTGTTCTTCCATACAGAAGCATTCCAATCATTAATAATAATGTACAGGATTGATGGAATTTTTTTTAAATCACCATTAGACAAACAACAAGGTAATACTGTTCCCTGACAAAATGGATGATTCTAAAATTGTTGAGTGAAAATTTGAAGAGATACAAAACATAAGCATAGTCTCAAAGTATCTCCCCTGCAAGACATTTAACATAACCAACAGTAAGACATACTGACATCACATACACCCTGAAATGATGTGTACCTGGAAAAGGATATAATATCACTTCTATGGTATTGTGCCAAAACTGCATAATCTCAATCTACTCAAGAAAAGACATCATACATATCCAAATTGAAATATGTTATATGAAATAATTAATTGGTACTCATCAAAAGGGTAAAAGTCATTAATTAGAAGGAAAGAATGAGGGACTGTCACAGATTAAAGGAGACAAAGATCCTCTTTTGGGTCCTGGAAAAGAAAAGTGATATTGGAGAAACACTGGTGAAATATCAATGTGGTCTATAGCTGAGTTTATGGTATGGTACTAATGCTAATTCTCTGATTCTTATACTTTCACAGTGGCTTATAAACTGTCAACTTTAGGAGAATTTAGCTCAATATATGTGATCTTTTCTATTTTCTAATGTTCTGTAAATTTAACACTTCAAAACAAAAACATTTTAAAAATTAGAAGGAATTTAAATACTTTATTATACTATCCTTAGCAAACAGTATCTGTCCATTTATTTAAATCATGTTTTGCGTCACTCGGCAGACTTTCTTCCTTTTGATTTACTTCTTCCTTTTTTAATAACTCATTTTTGTACACCATAAAATTCACCTGTTTAAGTATACAATTCAAAAATTGTTAGTAAATTTAAAAACTTGTGCAATATAACAACAATCCAGCTTTAGAGCATTTTCTTCACCTCAGAAAGATTCCTCATGACAGTCTGTATTCATTCCCCGATCTCACTCCAGTCTCATGTATCCACTAACCTTTCTCATTTTATAGATTTAAGAGAATGTTTCCTTAAATGCATATAACATGTGACCTTTCGTGTCTGGCTTCTCCCACTTAGCATCATGTTTTTGAGTACTATCCATTTTATAATCTGCATTAGCATTTTGTTTCTCTGTATTGCTGAGTGGTATTTCAGTGTACAGATACACTTTTTTTAAAAAAAAATCTATTCACCAGTTAATGAACAACAAACATGATTGTTTCCAGGTGTTGACTATTATGATTAACTCCATTATAAACATTTATGTTTATATACACATGTTTTCATTTCTCTTGTGTATCCCTATAAATGGAAATTCTGGATCATATAGTAAAATTCATGTTTAAGAAACTTCTCAAAACAAGCTGTTTTCCCAAGTGGACTCTACCATTTTGCATTCTGAATGCCATTGTGTAGAGGTTTCAATTTCTCCACAACCAATAATACTTGTTACTGTTTATCTACTTTAAAAATCATATCCATTCCAGTGAGTGAGAAGAGGACAAATCTAAACCTAACTGGTTGAAACATCTGGCATACATATATACAGCTGATGTAAAGGACATTACAATACATCAATCTACCCAACACTGAAATGAGCTCTCTTGTGAAATAGGGAATACTCCACTGCTGAATTTGTTCAAGCAGAATCTATGCAATTTTTCATCAGAAGCCTTATAGGAAACTGAATAAATTAATGAATATGAATAAATTTAAGGTCATATGCTATATGTCCTACTCTATTCTAAGTAAACTAACATCTGTCACAAATAATAATATCCCCATTTAAAATTTGATGAATGGAGGAACCAAGAAATTTAGCACAATTATGGTTCTCTTTCAGCTAATAAGTGATTGACCAGAGACTTAAACTTAAGTTTGTCACCATCATTGTTGTTTAGTCACTCAGTTGCGTCTGACTCTTTTGTGACCCCATGGACTACAGCCCAACAGGCTCCTCTGTCCATGGGACTCTCCAGGCAAGAATACTGGAGTGGGTAGCCATTTCCTTCTCCAGGGGATCTTCCCGACCCAGAGACTGAACCTGAGTCTTCTGCACTAACAGATGAGTTCTTTACCACTGAATTACCTGGGAAGCCCTTAAATGCTGTTCAGTTGCTAAGTCGTGTCTGACTTTTGCAATCCCATGGACTGTAGCCCACCAGGTTCCTGCGTCCATGGGATTTCCCAGGCAAGAATACTGGAGTGAGTTGCCATTTCCTTCTAAACTTAAGCTTACAAGCATCCAAACAAACTTGGCTCCTTGCTATTTCAACTTCTCTATACCAAAAACATTAATCAGAAACTAGATAAGGTGCTATATAACACAGGGAGTTCAGCCCAGTGCTCTGCGACAACCTAGAGGGGTGGAATGAGGGGTGGGGGAAAGAGACTCAAGAAGGAGGAGTTATATATAATATTTATGGCTGATTCATGTTGTCATACAGCAGAAACTAAACTCAACATTGTAAAGCAATTATACTCCAATTAAAAATAAATTTTAAAAAAGAAACTAGATAAGGCATAAGATATTTTCTCTATGTTCCTCTTTGAAAGACATGATATATGCACATGGAACACTAAGTCCAAAGAAGGCTAAGTCTGAACATTTATTGTTCTAGAAGCCCTTTATAAATATTTTATTTCACATCACCTTATTCATCCATGAAACATATAGTATTTAGGATAATTATTAATAACACATAAGCATGTATTTTGGTATAATTATTATTAATAGTTATCCTAAATACTATATATTTCAAGAATGAATAAAGTAGCATGAGATAAAATATTATTTATAAAGGGCTACTAGAGGAACTAATGTTCAAAATTAGCCACAGACAGTAGATTAGTGAAGGCAGAGACAAAAAGAATTCCATTGTCTTTCTAAGATGGAATGCTGTGATGAGATCAGGGGGAAATCATGGCAAATTGAGAAAAGGTAGACAGCAACCCCAGATAAGAGAAGTTTCTTCCTGGGACTGCAAAAGATAAAGATTGTGTGCTTATAATGGAATCAGTTTGCAGATAATTTTGCATATTGAAAAGAGAGTTAGTTTATGCCTTAGAAAGAGAGAAACAGTAAAGGGGAGAGAGAAATTAAACATATTGTTTTAAGAGAACTGACAAGTGGAATATAGAATATTTGATATATTAGAGAATTGAGAGTTAGGACATAAAACACCTTTGTGTAAATTTAGGTATGAAATATGCAGAGGAAGCCTTAGGTAAAACCTATAGGAATTGAAGATAAAGCAGAAATAAGCAGTTTAAAGAAAATTTTCATATAATTTAACATCTAATTAGGTTTAAGAGTTAACAGATTGAAATAATTAAAGAAAGCTTAAATTTCATTTTAGGCTTAAAAACAAAGGAATAGGAAAACATTTCCCAAAAGGCTGAAATAAAGGTTTACAGGAAGAGCATGAAATGAAACTGAACAATTTGTCCTGATAATTATTAACTCAATTCTCTAAGGCTTCACCGTCCTACACTTGAGAGTTGATTGTGGGTGGCTAAAGAACTCCCTCTGGATGAGGAATGCATGGGACCGCCGTGTTCCTGGCTGATTTAATAGCTCCAAAACTCTGAACAAGTCTCCCAGAAGATGAGATGCGACTCCCTTACGACTCAAAGCAATAAGAACCTGGTCATCCACATATGCAGTATGGCAGAGTAAATCAGGTGAGCAGAGGCACCACAGTTCCAAACTCTGCAAAAAAAAAAAATTATATGTATATATATATACACACACACACACATAGGCTCCATGAGAGTAAGATTTATAATCCATATTTATCTTGCCATTGTTAGGGAGTGTACTTTTTCCAAATAATCCTTACAGTTCTTTATGTGCCTCAAAAAGATAGTGTTTCCCATATTGAAAGACTCATTTTGAAAGGGCAGCAAGAAAACACCAGAACAGGCCAAAAGAGTGAATTGAACATGTATATCCATGACATGAACCAACTGGCTAATGACACTTCAGGGAAGGCAAATGGCTACTTATTCTGCCTGCTAATGTCAGTCGTCTCCTGCCTGAGAAGATGATCAGGGAGACAGAAGCCCCCAACCAGACGGTGGTGGACTACTTCTTCCTGGAGGGTCTGATGTACACAGCTGAACATCCTAGCCTGTTCTTTCTGCTCTTCCTCCTCATCTATAGCATCACCGTGACGGGGAATCTGCTCATTCTCATCACCGTGGGCTCTGACCCTCACCTCTGCTCCCCCATGTACCACTTCCTGGGGCACCTGTCCCTCCTGGACGCGTGTCTGTCTACGGTGACAGTGCCCAAGGTCATGGCAGGCCTCCTGACTCTGGATGGAAAGGCGATCTCCTTTGAGGGCTGCGCTCTCCAGCTTTACTGCTTCCACTTCCTGGCCAGCACCGAGTGTTTCCTGTACACAGCCATGGCCTACGACCGCTACCTGGCTATCTGCCGACCCCTGCACTACCCGCTGGCCATGAACAAGCGGCTGTGTGCCGGGCTGGCTGGGATGACTTGGACCGTAGGTGCTGTGCACTCCGCCCTCCATACCTGCCTCACCTTCCGCCTGCTCTACTGTGGGCCTCGTCACATCGCCTACTTCTTCTGTGATATCCCGCCAGTGCTGAAGCTGGCCTGTGCAGACACCACCATCAATGAGCTTGTCATGCTTGCCAACATTGGCATTGTGGCTGCAGGCTGCCTGATCCTCATCGTCATCTCCTACGTCTTCATCGCCGCGGCGGTGCTGCGCATCCGCACAGCGGCGGGCAGGAAGCGCGCCTTCTCGACTTGCACCTCCCACCTCACAGTGGTGCTCCTGTACTACCTGCCCCCCGTCTGCATCTACCTGCAGCCTCGCTCCAGCGGGGCAGGCGTCGGCGCCCCTGCTGTCTTCTACACCATAGTCACTCCCATGCTCAACCCTTTCATTTACACCCTGCGGAACACAGAGGTGAAGCAGGCTCTGCGAAGACTTCTGAGCCAAGGCGCCAGAGACTCTCCAGCAGACAGCCCACCCCGCTAACCTACGCTGCGATTCTCTTCATTTGCCCGCCAAGAAAGCGTCTATTCCGGTGTCACAATGGGAAAGGAGCATCATTCAAGTGGAAATCAGAAAAACTGAGTTTCAGCTCAACCAAGAACTTTTTTCCCCTCCCTTCAGCCAACTGACTTCTGTCAATGTCTGTCACAAACTTTTTATCTTTAAAACCAAAGGGCTGGGAGATTTCCCTGGCGGTCCAGCAGTTAAGACTCCACTTCCACTGAAAGGGGTGTGGGTTCAGTCCCTGGTCGGGGAACGGAGATCCTGCCATGGCCTCGTGGCATGCAGAAAACTAAAGGACTGGATTGGGTGATCCCCAGAAAATCTCCAGCACCTAGGTTTTATGGCTCAGAGGTATGTGAAATGCTATCCACAGCCTCATTTATTTTAGCAAATGTCTCTTTTTTTAGCTATGAAATAATTGTATTAAATATAATATATATTTTAAAATACTGATAACAAAAGTACAGGTATAGGCAACCAATTAATGTTTGTCTACATATCTTCCAGTTTAAGAGAAGAAACCACAGTTTTTAGGGTGATAAAATACAACTATTAGGAGAAAAGTAACTTGCCCAAGGTCACTTAGAAAGTGTCATTATCTTTATTTTCCCACTCCAGGTGGTTTATAACTAAGTGATGGAAAGACTGTCACTATCAATTATAGAAAGATACATATTGATGTCAGGTGGACCTACCAGTACTCAAATCCTGATTCCACTAGTCATTTGATATAAAATCTTGTGCATATTTTATGATAACTTGGTGTTTCAGTATGTTCTTCTAATATAGTAAGATTAAAATTAACTACTTGGTAGAATTTCATGCAGGCTAAATAATATATTTATGTTAAATGCTTGCTGCAAAGTGGATGTTCCTATTGCTTTCAAAGCAAACTAAAGAAGTCAAAAAATGCTTATTATACAAGCTAAGGTTTAAACTAAACAAAAAATGCAACTTATCCAAATTTATGGGGTGCTGCAAATACAAAGATCAAAGTGAAATATTCAGCATTAAATGCATATGTATTAATAGGAAAAAATGTCTTACTAAGCTTCCAATTTAAGAAACTAAAGAAAGAGAAGTAATTGAAACCTAAAGTAAGCACAAGAAAATAGATAATAAAAATTAGATCAGAAATGAATGAAGTTATAAACAGTAGAGAAAAAAATTTAATCAAAAGTTGATTCTTTGCAAAAATCAATAAAATTGATAAATCTTTAGCCAAGATAACCAAAGGAAGACAGAAATAATCAATATCAAAAATGAAGGAGATATTGTCACTACTGATGATACAGATATTAAAAGAAGATTGTATACAACTCTTTTCCCACATATTTGATAATGTAAATGAAATGGGCTACTTCATATAAAGACACAAAGTACCAAAACTCATATAGGACAAATGGATAACCTGAAGAGCTCAATATCTGTTTTTAAAATTGAATTCATAATTAATAACCCTCCCAAAAAATCATACCTGGATGGTCTAATTATTAATTCTATCAAAACAGTTAAGGAATAAATAACATCAATTATCTTCAGTCTCTTACAGAAAAGTGGAAGCAAAGGAACCACTTCTTAAATAATCCAATGAGATCAGGATTATCCTAATCACTAAAGTCAGATAAAGACATTTAAAAAAAAGAAAGACCACAAAGTCAATAAATCTCATGAATATAAGCATGAAAACTTCTGAACGAAATATAGGAAGTCAAATCCAACATATATATATATATATATATACCATGATCAAGTGGGATTTATTCCAGATACGCAAGACTAGTTCAACAGGCAAAAATCAATGTAACAGGATACAGAAGAAAAATTGTATAATTGTATCAAGTGACACTAAAAAGGCACTTAACAACATTTAAAACTGATTCACAAAAAAAAAAAAAAAACAGATTCATGATAAAAACTCAGCAAACTAGGAATTAAGAGAGCCTACCTCTCTATACTTAATAAAGAACAGACACAGGAAAACTAAAGCTAATGTCATAATTACTGGCAAAATAATGAGCTTTCCAGCTAAAATCTGGTGGGTATGTGACACTGTATTTGTTAAAACCCATAGTGATTTACAGTACAGAGTGAAACTTAATGTGTGCAAATATACAAATTAATTTAAGAAACTGGAGATTCTAGGATGGAATGCCCAACATGACAAAACAGCCTCTGTTACCTGGCAGCTCCACAGGAGGGGACAGTGACAAGACATGCTGACCTAAGTAACTTTGGGAATAAACGTAAGCCAAAGGTTTAAAGCGAAAATTAAAGTTTCGTGAGCACTGTACTCTGGTTGACAAGGTGATTTCCCACAGGGGTAGAAGTTAACAATTCTGAAACCACTATACAAGCATACTGAGACCGAACAAATCAGTAAATCAGTGGCTGATGGTGAGTCAGATATCCTACCATGAGAATGGCAGGATAAACAAGTTAGGGGAGAAAGGATGTGGTAACGGATTATAGATGGAGTCATCAGTATGCAGTCATGTTTAACTTATTATAGCTACAAATGATTACATATAAACATATTTATAGACATGTATATATACATACATTTCCTTGTTCTCTCAGTTTAGAGGGCCTAAAAGAAAGAAGTACCTGTAATGCTCAGGTATGAAGTTTCTAATAATGTTCTCCAATAATAGAAACCAGAACAGCAACTGGAGAAAGAAAGGTTTAAGAAGAAACTGGAGCATCTTTGCTAGAAAGCAAAGAAACCCTAAAGTATACACACACACACACACACACACACACACACACACACACACAAAGATAGGATTATGACAGAAACAGGAGCCAGCTGAAAGGGTTCTCAATGGTCAAAACCAGAATAACTCCACTAATACATTAAATGAAGTGGTATTGGATTATGATTTAAAATATAAAATAACCATGAGTCCATAGTGGTATAAATAAATGATTGAATGACTAAATAAGAAAGAAAGGAAGAAAAACAAATTCCTTTTGCAGAAGCTTAATGAAAACAGAAGAAAATAAATAATAAAGATAAGAGCAAAAATAAGTGAACAATATAAGAAAAAATAAATGAAATATAAGTGAAAGGAATTCGCCAGGCTCCTCTGTCCATGAAATTCTCCAGGCAGGAATACTGGAGTGGGTTGCCATTCCCTTCTCCAGGGGATCTTCCAAACCCAGGGATTGAACCTGGGTCTCCCACATTGCACACAGATTCTTTACCATCTGAGCCACCAGGGAAGCTCAATCAAAACTATACTGCAGTATTTTTTAAAAAGCATATATATAGAGACAGAATTATATGCTACAACCAAGTAAGGTTTATTTTAGGGAGTCAAAGATGTTCTGTATTTGAAAAATATCAATAAAGGTACTCTATCACATGAATAGGCTAAAGAAGAAAAAATATATGATCATATCAGTTGAGACAAGAAATAAATATATAAATCCAACAGCAATTTAATAATTTTTTTAAAAGTATGAAAAACTGGAAATAGAGGAAAATTTCCTCAACTTGAAAAATAATATCGACAAAAAAGAAAACTCCAGTGAACATTATACTTGATGATGAAAGACTGAAAGCTTTCCCATTATTACTGGGAACAACACAAGAATATACATTTATCACTTTTATAATGTCCTTAATTTCAGGTAACATAATTTTCAGTGAAGAAAATCCCAGTGCATCTGTTTTTTTTTTCCTTTTATTTTTATTAGTTGAAGGCTAATTACTTCACAACATTGCAGTGTGTTTTGTCATACATTGACATGAATCAGCCATGGATTTACATGTATTCCCCATCCCAATCCCCTCTGCCACCTCCCTCTCCACCCGATTCCTCTGGGTCTTCCCAGTGCACCAGGCCCAAGCACTTGTCTCATGCATCCAACCTGGGCTGGTGATCTGTTTCAC